TAACCATGCTTAAACAATAATAGACATAATACAAAATGTTTACTCTTGTGAAAACTACATCATGTATGGAATCTAACCATAGTCTATTCATTGGCCAACATTGACCGCAACCCCAACTGTGGCCACACAAAAATTGGTGATTAACCCGATCGGCGGCCTGTGTTCGGTCGGTTCGCAATTGATTCCCGTTATAATTAATGTCATGATATTTACACTAAACTATTGTCTAATAACTAATAGTGAATCCCAATAATCAAATAATCGCTTCAAACACATCTTTGATAAAAATATTTTCAATTTAAAAATGTGATAATTTTTAGTCAAATTTTTTGTTGCAAATTTTTCAAAATAATTCCGACCGACAAACTTTGAAAAAATCCTGTTCATAAACTACTCATCCCATCTTGATGAAACTTGGATTCTGGTGCCTAGAGATGTCAACTTAAATTATAAAACCAATTTCAGAATTCTAACTACACGGCAACTGGGCTAAGCTAATACAATATCATTTAGCCCAATAATTTATAGAAATATTCAGAATATTCTATTCCTTTATAATCAAAGAGCGGATTTGTACAAAACATATGATCACCCTGTATTTATCAAGAAAATGTAGCATATACATGATGCTAATGTATGATAAAACACAAAATGCAAGTTTTTGGTGAACAATATTTTAATGCAAAACATAAGGATTAACTGGAAGTCACATGATTTATATCTATTATAAATTATAACTCTATATTCAAATGCTTTGAGAGTTTTCTTACGGAATCTCATTAAAAGATGAAATGAATTGATATAATAAATGTATAATAAAACAGATGAACTCTTTTTGTGGATTTTAATTAAATTATAAACAAATATAACATTAATAAGAATTGTATGAAAACATGCGAATAGAAAGGACGGTCAGCCCTAATGATAGCGGCAGCCCTGGGCTATATCGACGTGGTTTGCCTTCTAGTCTCTTATGGAGCCGTTCTTAACAGTAAAGATAAAAATGGAAACACAGGTAATAGTAATGCTATTCTCTAATTGTTGTTCAAATATAATTCAATTATAAAAGTCAATGTCTTAATGTCTTTCCAGCACTTCATTTATGTGTTGTGGGAAATCACGTTAAGTGAGTTTAACACTATTTTTGCTTTTCAATAATTTTCTAATTAATTAAATATAAATACAATTTAGACAATGATTTTGAATAACAAATATTTAAAAATAAATTTCAAATTGCAGTTAATTTACATGTTGATAATTTCTAAAAATCTTTAAAAGAAATAATAAGTTAATGATATAAATAATATATTTCGAAAGTACAGTATATGAAAAATTCTGTTTTATTTATAATTTCCTAAAACGTGATGTTTGGCTAATACTAATGACTCTTATTTTATGAATGCATAGAATGACACAATTCCTGATAGAAAAGGGCGCAGAAATCGATTCACTAAATAATGTAAGTTTTGTTTGATATTGATTTTAATATTTATTAGTTTTGAAAATATATGCACAAACTTTAACATTACTTGGCTTTTGACGCAAATCGCGAAATGAATATTTGATATAATCAGAGGAATCAGACGCCGTTAGTGGTGGCGGCAGAGTTGGGTCACACAGAAGTGGCAGAAGTGCTCATTAGGAGCGGCGCTGATCTTCAGGTCCAAGAAAAGGTATACCAATATTATAAGTCCTAAACTTCATGAATAATATAATTTATATAAAGTATACTTATGTTGTATATATTTGTTGATTAGAGCGGAAGGACTGCTCTATACGTGGCTTCGAGAGGAAGTTTTCAGGCAATCGTCGATATGTTGATAAGGGCTGAGAGGGAGAAGATTCTGAAATTGAAAATAAATAGAGACGGTCTGAGACTTTCGCAAAACTCACGGAAAGAGACGTTTGAATCGGAGGACTGCAACGATATCGAGGCCACCAATCATTGCGAGCATGAAATCAATCAAAACATATCATTAAATCATTTCAAAAAAATATTATGGAATCTCTCGCGGAATCACT